GGGGGGGGGGGGAGCCACTCGCATCTGCCTCTGAGTGGCTACTGTGCTCTCAGCTGCAAACTGTTATCAGCAGTGTACACACAACAGCGAGGCTGAGAGTGGCAACCCTTACCATAATCAGCCCTGTGAGGAGGAACGTGCTCACAGCCATCATGGTGAAGCTGTCTAAGAACCAAGTGCACCAAATCACCCCATTAGTTATACCCCTGTTCTTCATAGCCTCTTTCAGACGCATTTCCTTCTCCAGCACTATACTCTTCACAGTCATGGAAACGGAATATATCCAAGCCAGCACCATGAAGATGGGAAAGGCGCGGTTTAAAGTGATCATGAAGCTACCAAATCAAGAAGAGATATTAATTAAATTTAGGTAAAACAAAGAAATATTGAGATGAAAAGCAAGAACAAAAAGGAGGGGGAGTGGAGAAGAATGCATTTACTAAACATAGGACTGGAAATTCTCAGTCTAAACATCAGTAACACAATGCTAGTGAACTACATAAAAAACATAAATATTAATGAACTAATAATAGTTGCTGCACTCTCATGAGACAGATAAACATTATTTCTATTTTGCAAAAAGATTCTAAGTGTTACTGAAGGGTACAAGTCATGGTGGCTCATGAAAACACATCTCCCTTCACAGTGAATTACCATAATGTTTTTGCTATGATGTACAAAGAATATTTTAAGACATATGTTAATGTTAACAGTTTGGGAACTTCACTGTCTTTTTATGCTCCCAAGATTCACTGGCAAAAGAATTAACTGAATTAAGCATCAAAAGCATCAGATGCTGCCAGCAAGTCTGCTGAAATTCATACAACCTATGACTTGGGGAATGAGTTGGGATTGTCCCACACAGCACCACTTAGAAATTGTGCATGAGAGTCTTAAAGCACCCAGCAATTCAAGTATTCATCAGAATTAAGACAAACTGCTTGTACTCACACATCATCCACAAAACATGGATATGGCATTTGCTGCAGATAAACTCCTAGTGGCACCTCAGTGTTGGTTTGAGTCTTTATAATTCCATGCTCAATCATGTCTTGAAGATATGCAAATCCTCCCCAGATATAGCGTAAATCATCCACAGGATCAGCTCGTGGACCAGGATCCCAGTACCTCAAAAAAAAAATTCATATGGAAATCATCTGGGTAAACAGTGGCTTTAGGGGAGGAGAAGAGGAGAAATCAATCAATCAATCTTAGCTACTGTGATTGTAGGGGCATTGCCTGGAGTTGTCTTTTGTAGATTTTGGTCTGTCAGGCCACACTGCTTGAGAAAGTATATGACCTGGAAAGTTCCTTCATTTCCTTTAATTTCCTCTACACAGAATAACAATTCTGGCCAAAAACGTACATAAATTAGTTACGTAGCAGAGTAACTGTTCTAGAACAGTATTTGGAATACAGTATCCTGGGAGCTTAAACGGAAATATCTGGATTGCAGATTGCAGACACCATTATATTCCTCTATGTAGACAGTTCCGAGGAATAATTTCTGCTTTCCCTTTAAGTGAATCCATTTGAGAGGGACTTGAGGAGGAACAGCAGAGGAGTTCTCTTGTGCAGAGGGAGGAGCGCTGGGTCACAATCCACATAGGATTTCCTTGTTTGCTTCTCCCAGTGATGGAATCAACTAAAAACTTAAGCAGGTTACCGAACAGAATTCTGAGCACAGCCATTCTCTTTGCCATGTATCCATGCATGTACCCACTGCCTGGCCTAACTGCCAAAAGAGTGACAGGACTTGGGTAAGTACCTGGCAGCCAGAGAGGGATTCTGCACTGCACTGAGTACTAACCACGGCTGTGGGATTTTATGCACGTATCCAACGCAAGTTCTAATGTCCTTATGTCTTTCATATTCCTGTTAGGGCAGGCAAGAACTGAGAAGAAACCATCACTTACCTGTCTTTGATTTTGTTTGTTTTCTCCACTGCATCTATGTCCATCCGGATCTTGTATTTCACATGTGGTGGAAGATTGCTGGTTCCAGGCTCTATGTTTGAGAAAATGATACCAGCCCAGAATTTGTTTTCCTCCAGCAAATGAAGAGCTTGATGAGTCAGTTGAGTTTCATCAAGACAACCTTCAAATTTATCCAAGGTCAAGCACTACAAAAATTCACAAAGAGAAAAATTGCATGAGAATAAATTAGTAAGAGGTGTATCATAAAGCAGACATCAGTGGTTGAAAACAGAAAAAGGAGGCATGTTCATCTGAAGCAGCTGCTATTTTCAGCTTTAAAAGCTTATGCTGAAACTATTAAAAGTTGACTCTCCTCCTTCCTGAAAGCTTCCCCATTCTTAGTCTAGTACTTATGCCAAATTCAAAATGTACAGCATTACCAATCTAAACTCAGAAACATCATTCTCCCTCAAAAGAACTGTAAACCTCAGATTTGGCATTGCTGTGGTCAATCTGAGTGGACGGAATAGTTTTGAAAGCATGTTATTCCTGATATTTAAGGCCCGCTTCTTTCTTCAAGCTCAAGAAACGTCCAATCCTGACAAGTAAGAAATCAAGCAAGGGTAGCAAATAAAGCAGCAGCTGCTCTTGCAGTTTGAGTATTACAGGGCAAATTTAAATGCACCTTTACAGAAATTATAGCCAGTACTAGGTTCAGCCAAACCCTACGGTGCTACATTTAGATAGAATGAAACAAAATAATTAAAATTTATTTAAGCCACTGTAATCATGCAGCCATGGAAATGTGATCTCTGCCACTTGGACTGTACTTGGAAGGTTGCCTCAAAATACAAATACCTGAATTGGAAGGGATAAAGATTCAGCACAGATGAGGATCCAGTATCAGGAAGTATCTCCACAGTCTGCATCCAGGAGATAAAATTAACTCAGCCATAAAATAAATCTGGCCACAAGAGTTTTTTAGCAGTCCAGCTGAATCAAAACACTGTCCTTTTTCAAGTTTTCAGGTGTTTTTTTCAGCCTAGGAACTGCCTGAGTGAACACCAAGGAGCTGAAGGATGACTGATCCATAAGAAAGGCAGATTAGCCATGGACTTCAGCTGAAAAACACTTTGTCAGGCAAAGCGCTGGGAAAGTCAGAGCATAAATTCAAAATCTAAAGTCTCTTAGGCATTTATTCCTATTTAATGTCAATCAACTAGTCAACTGATCTTACTATTGCGTCCCTACTGAATTCTGACATGTGATTAACCTGCTGCCTTAACACACTTCAGCTATCTCAATAATAAAACATAGCTTATCCTTCACAGCAAACTGTCTCTTTTGGTCACTATTGTGAAATGTATAATTCTTATTACGACTCCATATACAAGATATCAAGTAAAAATCCAAGTCCTTTATGTCCTCCCATTTAACTCCTACCTAACAGACATTGTAAGACAGAAAAATTGTGAATACTACAAATTGTCATTAGTTACCTGTAAAATTACAGACTTACGTTTTTATATTTAGCTTCCACCCTTCAGAATTGGCAAGACATTCCCAGAGAGTATAAGTATTTAACCCCTTCACAGACTAGGAAGACACATATTGAACTACCTTGCTTCATAAAATTCCAGGAGCCTAACTTGTTTGATCTTACCGAACTTCTCCTGCAGGTTAATAATGAAAAATTACTACCCATCAAAGTGCTCATAAATTGCTATTTAATGGGTAAACATCTTAAAGACTTCTTTATTTAACCTTTCCTTGGGAATGGCACTGGCAAAGTGCTGACAAACAACTGATCTTGTCTAAATTTTCACTGCAGAATAGACAGCGTCTGTACTGGTCTGTGAGGAGCAGTGTAGGTTCTTACCTAACAGTCCAGTTGCTAGATAATATTTGAAACAGAAAATGCAAATCCTTACAGGTCTTTTGTGTGAGTAGAATGAAACCAAAGCTTGCATAAGAACATAGGCTAAGACACCAGTCTTGTAGTAGTACACACAATTTGAAAGTGAAAAGAGATTTTATATTGTAATCTACTAGCCAAAAGCTAGAATTTCTTTTTCTGAAAAGTAATTGATTTGAAACGAAGGCAGCAGCCTCTACTTAGACTTTGAGTGAAATACAACACAGCTTGTGCCTTCATAAGCCTCACTATATCAAAATTCATTCATCAAACATTTGGAAAAATTTATTTCACATCTTCTCTCAGATATCATTTAACAATTTAAAATGATCCAATGAAGATGGGAAAACCAAAACTAAAAATACTAAGGACAGGTTTGGAAGATAAAACGAGAAAATATTAAGCATAAAGAGGTGACTAGGTAGCCCTCACAGACTAGCTGTTCTGTGGCCTGGGGTAGTCAAAGGGAAGAAGAGGAAATTCTTGAGGTGGTGAGGATGAGCACCCACTGCATATTTTGTGGGATTCTCAGCTACACCACAGCTTGCAACAGAGATCTGGAGTTTCAAACCAGTTGCTGGCAGCACACCTCTCCTCACCACACGCTATAGTAAGGAGTAGGGTGTCCCTGAAAGGGAGCTATTTGTTCCCATTGTGCTTGGCACAGCGTGAAAACATTCTCAAATGCTAACAACTCAGTGTAAATAGCAGATGTAAAACAATAAGCTCATTCCAAAGAACTTAAGGACACAAAGATCTATTACCAGGTACAGTAACTACCCTGATACATCAGATGTTCCAACATCATCCTGCTGCAAGCAACATATTTCACTCAGCTTGAGTAAGAAATTATTCTGCTAACATGATGCAAAAAGAACAACAGAAGAACCAGCAGAGCTTCGTGCAAAAGCTTCATTGTTCCCTCTTGTAACAGCTATAGGAAGACAGATAAATTCTCAGTTCCTGCCTTCTCGCAGGAGATGCATGGTCTTTTAGACTGAACCGGACTGGAATTGAGAGAGCTAGGCTTGTTCCCGTTGCTCACAGCTAGTATCAATTCTCTCTGTGAGCTTGAGATTCAGATTATTTAATCATTAAATAATAACTAAATACTTACTTCTCTTTCATAGTTGCTTATAAGATGTAATTTATAAAGACCTTGACCCTCATACAGCAGATGCTAAGTGTCGAGTTCCCAAGTATTAATATTACTGCCAACAGCAATGGTTTTTTTAAACTCCTGGAGCTAATCTGCAACATTACAGGGGCCACTAGTTTGGCTTGGGCTCATAAATTTGACTGCCCACAGCAGAGCAACCTCTTACTTGAAGTATCTTTCAAAGCATTTTTACAATGGCTTGGCATTTTCATCTGCATTTTCGGCATTTTTTATGTATGTAGTGAAACTTCACCACACTTTCTGCGCTCTGGTGCTCAAAAAGCCTCAGAAAGGCTCACTAAAAACACAGCACCCTAGAGAAGGGAAGTACTGATTCCAGGAAAGAGACATAGACATCTTGTCAGAAGGGGCAACAGAACAATTGGAAACTCCCTAATTTGTTTCAATGGAATTCTGATCAGGTGCTTAAAAACCTGAAGGGGGACTTCACAAACAACTGTTAGCTTCTTTGGTCCTGGTCTTGCTGAAGTTAGTGGCCTGCCAGTTAGTAACACTTACAAGAAAATGTTTCCTGGAGGTTTTGCATTCACTGCCTCTCAGAATCAAAGTATGTTCAGACGTTCAGCCAACGTTTTGAATACAGCGTTTGAGAATCATCAAATTAAAGAGTTTTTTCATAATAATTATTATTCATGTTCTCATACTGCTGCATTATTTTAAGAAAATGCTTTTAATATTGAGATTAAATTTGAAGGAAATGAAGATGTCTTATGCTTGTAACCTTCTTGTCTGTTGCCACAGCCCCCAAGTACAGCCTGCCCCGCTTTTAGATATTTTCTAGAAGTATTCCCAGCAGTGGGAGGGCTGACCTTACCTCCAGATACTGGCTGAGCAAGCGTAGAGCTTGGTCTGCAACACGGAAGATGTTTCGCCAGTCAAAGTCTGCCATTCCCTTCTCCCGGCTCCCTGGAGGCCCATTGTGGAGAAAGTTGATTATGTGTTCAGCAGTTAAGCCTTCAGCACCCAGCTGGCTGTTCAACAAGTTCCTCACTGTAGGGTGCTTCAGAGAGTCCTGAGGAAACACAGGACAGCCTCACTACAATGGTTCTTTTCACACGCCCCATTTAGCTAGAAAAGGTTTCCATTTCCATAGCTCTGAGATGTGAATTTTACAAAAGGGTATGCTAACGAGTTAATTTTATAAACGGACAGTTGCATAGCTGAACTGGAAGTGAGACCTGGGGAATGGATGAAATTTATCCCTGATTATTTATTGTATTGTTTTCTTATAAGCACGAGGATAAGTGTAATTTGGTGGACCCAGCAAAATCATGGTTCTACTGCCTACCACCTGTGCAGAACCCAAGAAAATCGAGTTAGCTGTTCTTGAAGGACATTTTAGAGAGACAAGGAAGCAGTGATTGCTGCCTTTGCTAAGGAGTCATTAGCCAGATTCTACGGTATCCATATCCGAGGTTTTGCCACAGAGATGCTGCAATGCATCTAAGACTAGGTTTAAGTAGTCCAACACCCTTAAAGACTACAAATTAGTCCTGCAAAGGCCATGCTTCCAGTCAAATCTTCCAAATTAATTCTCTTCTCCTTAGTATAAACAAAGGATGGTGAAAGACTGCTCTTACTGAGGATCCCTGCTAAGTTATAACATACACGGATCATATTCATTTGCAGGCTGTTTTGAAAGAAGTACCACAGCTGAGGTCCCACTTCTTCCCAAGATTTGGTCAAAAGTCTGAGGCGTTCAAGTTCCTCAAAAGTGGAGTTTGCCTGAGGAATAAAACAGCAGAAGAAAGTGTTAGATAGCTAAGGAGATAAAATCTCAGAATTTATAATTCAGTGGTAGTGAAACCTGTAACTTACAAATGTTGTCGTTTTTACTGTCAATAGTTAATAAATTGGTTAAAATAGCAGAAATAATAATAAACCTCAGAAAACTGTAAAATCCATCTGGAATCACAATCACTTAGGATAAATTTCTGTTATTTATGTAATGGAGAAAACAAGCGCACATTAGCCTTCCAGCCTAGGCCATTCTATGATTCTGTGATTAACCTCAATTAACTTAAATTCCTTTAAATACTCTGGTTTTAGGTAGAATGATTTCTTCCTCTCGTTTTTCTCTTGAATATTTCTCTCCATTAAGTATGAAGAAGAAAGATATTGATGTAGGTAGATGAACAAACGGGAGGAAGCTGGAGAAAACAAATGCTCTCATAGTTAGGATCTGAAATGTTGGCCTGCTGCAAATGTGATGTTTTCCTGTGTGAACTACAAGCAGCAGTTCTTCCCTGCCTTATACAGATGTCGAGAGTAAGTGAATTGGTGGTTATGAGGGGGTCAAAACCTAGGTCATATGTGACCTAGACTTAACTGCTAAGATTAATTTCACCTGACTTCAGGCACTTAGCTGAAGAGTCCAGGCTCCATCCCATTCTGATGAAGTGAAAATGATTTACCATTTCAACCATGATGTTGCTATTGGTTTGTGATCCCTCAGTGTCAGGTCTCAATGAGTCTATCCAAGCCTCATAACTGCATCTCTTAAATATTTACTGGCACAGAGCTGCGGATGTTGCTACCTTTGTAAAATACACGTTACTACTTTTACTAGTGTAAATGTGGAATTATGCCAACAGAAAGCTGCTTGAGCTAGAAAAAACATGTAGTGTGGACCAAGATGAGATGAATCAATGAGCATCTGCTTCCTGTTTTTAATACAAAGAGTAACTGTCCCTCCACTGATGATCATCAGAACAAGTGGAGTTCTAAGAAGAAAATCTGATTACTTTGACGTAGCCAGTCACTGTTTTTCAAGAGATGTTTCTTTGGATGCAATTTTTTAACAGTATACTTTTTTTTGTATTTCAGAACTTCTTACATTTTTTAGGATCCGACGTACAGAAGGTGAATCAGGAGTAAACAGAATTTTTCCCATCAGTAAGGGCTTCGCAGCACTCCAAGCGATTTTGGTTAAAGGGTTTGATTCCAAGTTCTGGATCAATGCATTACAAAAAGGTGCTAAAGACAGAAAGAAAGAAAGGAAGAAAGACAGTCTTTATGTAACCCTACTCAAATCCACATATAATGTCCTGCAGGACTTTTTACTGGCGATACGGACAGTTTAAAGCATTTTGAATCTGCATGGGTTAAGCATATTTTGCAATGCAGAAGTATAATGCCTAAATAGATGGCAAAGACTATTAAGTAGATCTTGTACTTGTAGAAATCATGGAAATTGGAAAAGTAAATGTAAATCTAACTATTTGGAAAGTGGCTGTTATTTATAAGGTATTTCAAAGGCAAGTAAACTAAGTAGCTGAGATCTCACTGAACAATTCTGAGCTCTAATTGTTTTTCTCCTATTTAATTAGCTCCTTTGTATTGCAGTTGATAGTGATACAAAGCTAATTTTTCTCCTGTTAGTTGTTAGTTCATACACAGTATAAATTATTGGACTGAAGATCCAGCAGGCTTTGATGTTGAACTCTGAAAGAGTTCAGAACTGGATCCTACAATGATTTAGAACTAAACATTTTAACGTGAACATTTCTATCTTATTCCAGCACCATGAAGTAATCAGTGTACCTAGATAGCATTCAACTATTTTGTTCCCTGGCTGAAGACATGGAGAACGGCCTTTCACAGATCTTTTGAAGGTTCAGACATAGGTAGAGCCAATTATCAACACCAACAGTGAAAGGCAGGAGTCTCTCTAGGGGTGAAGTCCTCACCGACACTTTGTAACCATGCAGCCATATTTATCATAGTGGAAGGGACACCGCAATCTACTAATCAGCTATAATATGGCTGTTAGTACAGAAAAAATTGCTGGTAGTATCAACATAAAGAAAAACTAAATAGCAAAGAGAAGGGCACACAATAAAATAACAAATGGTAGAAAAGAGAAAAGTTGCTTCTCTTAGCATTCTCTCCTATTACAATAGCAAGAATATAAGTGAGGAAATTAGAGCAATAAAAACTGGTAAATTGAAATATTTTCTATGTAAGATTTAATTAAGCTGTAGAACATTACTGCTACAAAATACACATACTTTTATACAGGAAGAGAACAGCCGTCACATATCAAATTGAGTATTTAAAAGGAGAGATTTAAAAACCCCTTTGCTCAAGGCCATTAATCAAGTTGAGACCCTTTAAAATTACTTATCTTGGAGAATAATTCCAGAATCTTCTTCAGAAGCATCTAGTTCCTCCAGAGATTCGTAGCATATATTAGAAGAAAAGACAGATGGACTGTCTTAATTATTATGATGACAATTTTTATGCCTTCACATTGAAACCAAATTCATATTACTGTCATTTCTCAATTCCTTGTCTTCTCTGTTTCCAGCTATGAAATAAGTATGAGGTAAAATTGTTTCATCTGTCTAATTTCCTGAATCAACTGTTAAAAAATGCAATCTAAGTTGCACCTGTGTACAGTCTCTGCAATAGTTTGGTGGAAAAACTTACTGGTTGCATTATCGTAAGGATAACTGGATTTCTTCCTTGTTGAGTCAATCCCCAGGAAAGCCTTGTAATTATTATCTTCATACCAGTTGAAGGAAAGCACTCTGGATCCACCTCCTTCTGGGTAGCCACAGAAAAGGTCTGACAGGGAGCTCACCAAGTGGGCTAAGGATTCTGGCCTTCTGCCTTGTGTAAATGGTTGCAGAACCATCAAAAGGTCTTGAATGCTTGACTTCCTGGCTAGCTGCGGTTAAGACAAGACTTTGTTAATTGCAGGTCTCAAAGGAGACAAGGATCTGACGATCTGATGGGGTCTCCATTGTGTCCAGACTAGATGCAGTCAGAACTTCAGCCTTTTGTCTCATCTGTCCTAGTACTGGGTATCATTTTCAGCTTGTGTTGTCTCATGTCTTTTCTGAAGAAGCAGCTTCATAATCACAAATGCTTGTCTACATTTAATTTGTAATGAGAGAAGAATGAACTTCTAAAGAATCAGTTCTTCCCATACAAGTCTATTTTATTTCTGATAAAGCAGGTAACTGAAACGTAAAAAGAACCAAGGAAAAGGAGGACTATGCACTACTTAGAAAAGCAATGTCCTCTATTATCAGACTACTTACCTTTTGCACTGCTTGGGAGACATTGGATAGCACCCTCCCCCAGGCCCTCAGGTCAGCACCTGGTGAGTTTCTGTCCAATACAGTGGGAAGCTGTGAACACATCAGAAATACAGATGAGTTCTGTGTAGCTTTTACATGACAGCAGCTGTTACAGTGAGAGAAGAAAATCTGAACGACATTTCTTTAGCTGAAATACTTCTGAGCTATTTGGAACAATGAGTCATCTAAGCCTGTCTTGTGGGACCACAAATCCAGGACCCATGTGCAGACTCATACAGCAGCCTATGTAATTGTTCTTATTAATATGAGGCTGAAACAGTCACAGGCCACTGAAAATATAGCTTGGGATTTCTTCTGCTTATCTAAACCCACCATGTCAAAAGGTAAAAAATGGAGAAGGAACTGGAATTTATGAGAAGCTGCTTCTCACAGAGGCCATTCTTCCAGTGAGACATACAGACACCTGGAAATTGAACTTAGCAAAGGCTGCAGTACAGAAACCCTCATTTGCCATGGAGGTAAATAACTGGTAGTACTTAATACTTGAGAGATTTCCTCAGTTTTGGAGACAGTCTGGTCCTCACTGTCTGTCAGGTCTGACAGAAACTATTGATTCTGCAGGCTTCTGCAGGCTCACCAAGTAGCCTTTCCAGCAGAAGTTAACACTTTAGTTATCATTGCTTTCTTAAGAAGGACGTAACATCATGACATGCTGTCACATATCACTTTGCTTGCATCACTGCATCCTTCTTTGTCAGCTGTCTAAAGAATCACACACGCGTTTGGGGTTAGAACTGTTAAGGCTTTCTCAGGCATCTATTTTTTCTGGTATTACAGCAAAATATGAAGCTGGACTTTTAGGTAGCTAGACTGTAATATTTATGAGGTAAGCCCCTAAAAGGACTTGTCCAGAACCATGTAGCTATACGTCCTGCTGATTCCCTGACATTCCTTTCAGTCAGTGAGTGGTTAAGCAAGCAGAAGACAGCTGCACTGAGTAGGTACACGGCAGGGAATCCCAAAGGCAAGAGCTTTTACAGAAAGCTTATGTTAGCATGTTCTGAGCTGTCAATTGCAGTTCAGGCAGGAAGCATACACACAAAATGCTTCAAAAATATACTTTTCCTTTGTCCTCTACAGGGAATCAGTCTCTGCAAAGATTATCCAGGATTCCTGGAGCACTTGCCTAACCTGACCTTTTTGAAACTATGAGACACAGGTATTGTAAACAATCCAAAGCAAAATAGAGAAAATATGGGATAAGTATGGAATTAAGAACCTCCTTCTTGTAGCTAGAGGAAAAGAAAAGAGAAATAGGGGCATAATTACACTTTGCTCCTCAAAATTATTTCTTGCAGGAGGCATTTGGTATGAATCGGATCTTAAAAGAAATATCCTTAAATGACTGGATTTGTATTCAGTTAGTTCATGTTCTCTAGGAGCACACATAAGACAGGATCAGCAGATATTACATACAAACGACACTCTCATCTGACCTAAATATCAGAGCATACAGTTGGGAATGTTTACTAACCCTAAGCACAGAGGAGAGTGGAAGCTTTTCTCCAAGTATTTTTCCAGCTACTTTCATATTCACTGGAAGCGAATATGGGGTCATGAAAAAAAAGGAAGAACATAAACACTGAAAAGTTTCTTTCCAACAATAGGAAGCCCTGTTCTGGAATCCACAGTCAGTTGTCTATCCTAAAATAAGCCCTACTCAAACAAGGAGCTTTGCAAAAACAAATTTTGTTATGTGATTTGTTATACTATACAACTGTAGCCTCAAGACCATGAAGTACAGAGTCACTGACAGTGTAAGAGTGCAGAAAATAACCTGGGTCTTGAATACACAGGTATTTCTAATGTAGAAGTATTAGAACTAATGTAGAATTCTAAGAAGTCCAATGAAGGTTCATTCTGCATATGTAACTGGGAGCAGATTTACACTCAGTTTGATTATATACCAAGTTCATGTGATGATACCGATCAAAGCCGCTGTTTCAGCAACATATGTCCATGCTTAGTGAAGAACTGCTCATTTGCCCCCAAAATTGCAATAGGGCATGCAAAGATTTTATTTTCGCTTATAAGGTTTAAGAAACTTCAACTGAAGCTTAAACAGGCAGCTTTTCAAGAACAGCAATGCTCCAGAAAGAGGCACATTTTCCTTGCTGTGGCTGAGCCAGACAGACAGTAAAGGAAGGGTCTTATTTTTCTATCTCTGCTTTGCTATCAAAAACGTGTGTTGATTTAATCTCTGGCAAAACTCCCTGGAGATTATGAAGGTTTTGAATGTATGCTTATGCACATACATACCCGAATATGTTGATCACAATCTACAAGATTCAACATGAAACATTAATTTCAAAGTGGTGGAGAAGCACATTGTAAAAATAGCTGTGGCAATGAGTTTTTATGCACAATCTACCTTCTAGTTTAACAGAAGACACTGAGATTTTGATTTAAAAGGGAGACTTCTGTTTGGAAAAAAAAAGAAATACATTAAAAAATACTATTGAGCAACTATAATGACAGGAGTGTGGGATAGCTTCTACCAGCCTGAGGTCTCATTGTGCTAGGCAGCTTGGTGCACCCACAAGGAATCAGGCTGTGCACACCCTTCCATCACAGACTTCCAATGCTCAGGGGGCAGCCTGGCAGACAGATCTTACAGTAACAGACCAGACTGCAAGCCTGCATCTGAACTCCCAGTTTTCACAACTCCAGATTTTGGTTTCAGGTTTATGTTCTTACCTCCCTTGTGAGTCTATTTTTGTTTAAACACAGACAAGTGCTTCATTAAATCTCATCTTTCCATTTTATTTGCTATGGTAGCAATATCATGATATGCTAACAGCTCAGTTCTAAAGCTGGGCAGGGCAGTATGCATATGCACATGAAGTCCTTAAAAGCAGAAAACCTCTTAGAAGTACTATAGCATTTATTCTCTGCTACTTCCAGCAAGCATCAGATACACAGAAATATCGGAGTGTATTTTTAGAAATGGAAAACAGCAGCTTTTCAAAGATGACCACATGTTCCTATCAGGACTGGCAAAATCACATGGGCATAATGAATGACTGTCAATGTTACAATAATCAAACAGTAATTTTTCTGGTGTGTCAATTAAAGCTTCTGGCATCCTCTGTTTCCAGTTCTGAGCAACTCAAAGCTGAAAAAAATTCATGCTAAATTAAACACTGCTGGGACAGAAAAGGCCAATCAATACTTTATATGTAACTTTAGCTGCTTATGTATCCTGCCTGCTGTGTACAGCAAACTGACAATGTGACAGTCTCATGACATGAAGTTATAAGGTGAAAACCAGTAAATTAAATTCAGCATTGAAAAATGTGATCATGACGATAGGGAAAAAATACCAAAGACATATGCACAGTGATGGGCTATAAGTTTGCCATCCCAACTCAAGCTGCATAGTGGCTTTGACTTCAGTGTAGAATTCTGTCCTGCTGGATAAAGCTAAGACATGAGGGGCTGCATGGGGTATTTTCAGAACCCTCAGCAAGGTCTTGCCACACACTGTTTTGCTACATAGACTGGAAAGACCAGATAACAGTTACACATACACTGATTTTAAAACTGCATCAGAATCCTTAAGTTCTGCTGTACTGTGAATTTCATCTGTTTCATTCCAAAGCATTCTGAGAGCTGTCTAGTGTCCTGCTGATGGCAGACTAACAATCACATATCCATAAATTTGTATTTGCAGGTGTAGATAAACAAGGACCACTTGGAACACTGGTGATATATTACGAAGAAAACTCTTGCAGCCAAACTATCAGCCAAAAAAATGACAACATAAGACAGGATGACTGTGTTAATACTCACCAGCTGAAATAGCTTAAAGAAATCAACATTTGCATACAAGGCATCTTCTACCTTCTGTAGGCTTTCCTGGGACAAGGCACACATGGCCTTGTGCACAGAAGGGAGACCTCTTCGGCTGCTGAAGATAATAAAGCGGTCCAGGAGCATGTGACTGCAAGCAATGTCCTTCAAAGTCAAGTCAGGGACACCGTAGGCAAACTGTAACCAAAACCAATGTTTCATTTACTGTTCTGGAACTTTCATACCATTCAGAAACAATTAAAGATTTATCAGAAGTGAACAACTTGATATCAGCCCCTCTTAATATTTTAATGAATGGCAGAAGGATGCAGTCAGCTGAAGCCCCAGCTCTTGAGCCACTCTCATCTGAAGTTATGCTAGATTGCCTTGCCTTCCACCACATCTTTCCTGTTCTCATTGTGAAAGTTCTTGTGAGTCTTCTTCCCTGTCTCTCTGTCACCTAAGCACACCTGATGCCAGGCCACTCATCCTTGTGGTAAAGGAGACATAGCTATGGTTTGCTTGGAAGTATTTCCCCAGGATCACTCTACCTGTCATGTCTAGACTAGTTCTATTTCTGTCAGTTGCTCTAAGAGAAAAAGGTCAGTTTCACTGATTCTTAAACTTGATTTCCCTCAGTATTTTATTTCACTTATGACTGTTCCACTCCAATGCTTCCCCACAGCCATTATTGTCACTATACACAGGCATACAGCCAGGCTTTACAAAATTATTTTATATTGAACACCATCCATTTACTGATTATCACTTCTGATATAAACATGCAATGGAAGAAACAATTATTGTCTTTAGTGTGCAGTCCCTTGGAACAGATTAATTTACAGTTAAATCAATGTAAATAATAACTCTGTAGAAATAAGTAGATTTATCTGGGATTTGCTTTGTTGTAATGGAATATTCTCCGTAATGCATGATTAAGTTCTGCCTGCTTTATAATGGACAGAGTACACGGCAATATAATAAAAAGTAGCACTGAAAATTGCTCATAAGCTCATGTTCAATCCTTTGTCCATCTCCTTTCCTTGTAAGGAAAAAACTCACAACACTGTGTTTGAGACGAATACAGAGTTTCCAACCAGAACTCTGCACTGACAATATCATTAGGCTAAACAAATTTAATGAGCTGCACAAAAAAATAAATCATTGAAATCTTTGCAGAACATAATTGGTTTTAGAAAAATAACCTGCTGAGCATTCCAGTCTTGAAGATATTTGGATCAAACCAAGCATACCACACCTATAGGTGCACATTTATTTCCTATTTAAACAAGTTAACAAGACCATCTAATAGATTCTGAACATTATCAATATATCTGCAAATCTTTATATATTTTTATCACAGAATCACAGAATGTTAGGGTTTGGAAGGGTCCTTAGAAGATTATCCAGTCCAACCACCTTGCTTTGGCAAGGATCACCTAGAGTAGGTCACACAGGAATTTGTCCCGGTGGCTTCTGAATGTCTCCAGAGAGGGAGACTCCACAGCCTTCTGGTGTGTCACTTGCTCCTTTCAGTTTTGTGTCATCATATATTATATATATACCTGTAAATTTCCTATACTTAGCAATGAAGACTTGTTTGTGGTGCCTGTAAAGAGATATTTAAAAACCCAGAGGAATGAGAAAAAAACTTAATTCAGTTGCTTTAGAAAGTGGATTCAAGCTTGAGGAGTTATTCATTAAGTGCTTCAGATATCAGAAGCAACCAACAGAACTGCAAAGGTGGCTGTTGGAAGTCCGCATTCAGAATAGGAAAGGCAGGGGAAGAGAGTTCTAGTACAACACTTTTATCTGGACTACCCTGAGTTTCAACTTATGGAGCTGCAGTTGACAATAAAAGCATCTCAACTATACACACATTGTGTATTAGGATTCTGATGCCAAATAGGGATGTGAATTTCTAGAAAAAGTACTTGAAAGGTAATGTCACTATCATCACTACAGCTGTACCCATGTAAAGGCACTGTTAACGAAGTTGGACAGTGTGGAGACAGGCAGAATGCAAAAGAGGAAAATGCAACTGACAGGTACAGTCTGGCTTCCAAAAAAAGAAACATCCCCATCCTCCCTCATATTGGAACATTTGAAATGGATTTAACTAATTTTATGACAGCGAAAGAATTTGCTGATTTGCTCAGTCACTTATGTCTTGAGGATGTGTGTGATAAGAACAGTGTCCTTTAACCATAAACACCGAGTCTGGCATGGTCCTCATCATCCAGTGTGAAAGGCACTGAAAAGGAGCTGCACAGAGAGGCAGCCTGTGGACCTTGTTTTGACTTGTGAAAGGAGGAAACTGTGACATTAACATCACTGAGAAGGATTAAACAAAGAAAAAAAAAAAAAGGTTATTTACAAACTGTAGCTGCATTTCAAGAATGTTCATGAACAGATGGGATTAGAAAAACACCAAACCTCCGCCCTTCCAATTTTTCCGGTAGGGTGGGCTGTTGCCAATCTTTCCTGAACTTATTGTGCTTTAACATCAGTCTGTTATCCTTATCTTAGAATGACTCAAAAGAGCAAGGCCTCAGAGGAAAACTTCAGTACTTTTTGTTTTTTTTTCAATCAACATGTCACTGTTCGGCCAAAGCTAGCAAGATGAAGTCCAAATTATTTTTTTTCAGTTGGCTGTTCGATCAGGTTTAGCTTTCAGCTCTGTGTGTTATTTCCTGCACTCCTAGGCAGCTCAGACCAAGATCTGCAGCCAGCTGTTGGCAACCGCAAGGCTCTGGTAAACAAGTTGCTTTCAGGTTGATCAGCTCTGTGCCATCAGAGCCAGGATGAGGGGGTGTACAGCAGTGTGCGAGCAGAGAGTAGAGCAACACAGAATCGTAGAATGGCCTAGGCTGGAAGGGACCTCAGAGATCATTTTAATCCAGCCTCCCTGTCACCAGGGACACCACCTCTCGACTAGATCAGGCAACACGTGGGGACCGAACAGGAATTGAACCCGCGAGGCTGGCATTGTTAGTGCCACACTCAACTGAGCTAACTGACCCCCTAATGAACTAGAGATGAACTATTACAGTTGAGGCTTAAGACGACCACAGATCTAGGTTCTACCCCAGGCTCTGTAACTTCTACCTCAATCAACCATAAGTCATCCCAAGCATCTTGCTTATCAAGAAGGTCTATAGGAATTAAGTGATTCGTCTACAATAGGAGGTGTTCAGTTCCTATTGAAAATAATCCTCTTGTGGCCTTTTGAAAATTATAGATTTGTGTTTCTGCAACCTTTGCTGTTGGAGGAAGCATTCACAATACTTTCTTTCCTCATAGATGTAAATCAGCTCATGTGAGATATCCTGTATCCCTGTGATTACTGCTAACAAGAAAACTTTACGGAGGAGAGCAAAAATGGTACTTAACACCAGGTCTCCTCCAGTTTTCTCTCTAAATGATGTTCAGATTTCTTTTATTTCCAGCATACAGAGAACTACATCTCTTTCTACATCAATACAAAAAATAGAACAGAAAGACACCATGTTCCAGCATGTTTCAACCATGCTTTCAGTGACAGTGTTGAAAAGTCCAGTTCTGCATACACTGGCAAGCAGAGGTTTTAATAGCAGATGAAGGAATGCCACTGGGAAGCTAATAGACACTAACACAGCAGAACAGTTCTCCTGGCACTGCAGATCTCTGATAAAAAAGAGGTTAGGAATTAAAAGTGAAAGAGAAGCCCAACAGGGCATCTGTATGCGTGTATACCAGCAAGGAAGCAAATTTTCACCTTCTCAGCTGATATGGAGATACGAAAATAAGTAGGATGTATCAATTGACACTGGCTTTGGTATGGTCTTGTGGTGCTTCTCCATGACAAAGTGAGGAGAGGGGAGGGCTTTCTCTGGTGCTAATCAAGAATATAGCAGATAAATACTCTGATTACTAGTCACACCAGCTGGAAGCTGCAGTGCACAAAAGCACATGCAACTTCATTAATGCTCTCCCTCTTTCTGGCCACACAGTTCCAAGCATTTGTGTTTTATGTGGCAGTGAAAAAGAGGAATTGTACCTTTCAGCCTCAGTTACTCACTTGCTTCCACCCCCACACTAACACAGCGCAGAAATTGTTTCAGAGTTCTGATTCAGCAACATTCATTCATTAATACAGCATTCCTCACAGAGCTTCCAGCCACTAACACATGCAGAGGCAGAGACAGGCCGGACTTGGTCAAACACAGTCACTGCTTAGCTGATACAGGAAAGATCTGACCTGCAGTTTTCATTCTGAATTTTCTGAGCAGATCTATTATTCAATCAAAATTTAGGAAAGTGAGTCTGCTGCTCCACTCCCATCTATTCATGTGAGATAATGCCATAACGCCACCATATTGCTTTGCTGACATTGGGGCAGAGAATTTAAATGTCAAATTCATAACCTCAAACAGTACTCTCCTATTCATCACAACTGCTGTCTCAAAAGGATGCACAGCTGCCTTATGCTTTTGAGCCAGTCTTTAACAATGGGGACGGATGCATTGCTTGGCAGTATTGTTTCTTGATGCTCATTATTTGGGAGCAACGACAGCATTGAACCTACATTTCGTGCATATTCAAGGTGGTTTTTTAAAGACGAAAGAAACACTTCCTCACCTAAATTCACAAAAAAACAAAGGGAGAAGTTGTACAACCAGCTTATAAGGCAGCAGGTATTCCAGGCACAAGGCCCTCACCGAGGCTACTTTGCACATAAAACTCCAGAGACTGCATTCCACACAGGTAACAGCTTGGCAACTGTTACACTCCACCCACCTGTTCGGGGCGCACTTGAGCATTAATAAGCTGGAAAACAACCATATCTGTGAGGCCGACATCTTCCAACAAGAAAGAAGTGAGGGTCTCCCCATCTTTCAAAATGTCAAGAATTCGTATTCCTCTTCCTGGATGAAGAAAGGAGTGCCAGAGGTCAGTGAGATATCAAACAAAGGAAGTTAAAGAACAGCTCATACCCTGGCTTAAACTGCAAAAAGTATGTACTTTGGCTCATATACTTAGTGGTGACTAGTGGGGTTGAAAACTATTTTTGAAATTCAAAATAGTTTTAAACCTTTGTTGGAGGATGATAATCAGAAAATGTGGTGTCATGACTCTACATATCTGATCTCTCAAATATGTTTTAGACTAGAACTTCAGCAATGGAAGTATTGAAAGGATCTCTGACTGCATTTGAAAGTCTGCCTTTTTGTCTGAGGTAATGTTTCATTTTAAATATTCAGATTCAAATGTGCTACTGTTGTTAGTATCCTTTCTTCTAGGCCTTGTGTGAATAACTTTAGTCAATCCTTTACACTTACACTAATTTATCACTTTCTGTTGATTAATCTTAGCTAGTTAATCTTACTCTATAGTTTTGCAAAAATGGCCCCTTAAAAATCTTTTTTGGGAAAAAACACGTTTTCCTTTGAGAATCATATATTGTTTGTAGTTTAACAGTCTTACTAAACTAGATCACCAACTATTAAACTAAAAACTGGCAAATATACAGGCAAACCACTGGGACTACACACTTAAATTAAACACACATGAGAGGCCATCAAATTTCCCTAATACTGTATAAAACAATATTCAAAATATTGCTGCTTTTAAAAGTCAGAGCGCCAATCTTTTTTATCTTGCCTGTGTTAGTGAACTCTAACTTTGTATGGTCCAAGTGAATGTTGCTCTTGTCCATTCAATGTTATAGCCTTTATTAAAGGTAGTTCACATAGGATCAACAAGCAGTTCAGGAAAGAATGCTTGAAAAGCGCTAGTTCCTTGAGTCTTCAGAACAGGCGATTGAAACTGATAGGTGCAGCACATATCATACTGACATGAGAAATGTAGCTTTAGACATCTCCACATAAACATGCACAAATTTGCTGCTGAGCATCTCCATTCTGTGAGTTGAGTCTTACCAGAGTTTGACAACTAACTTCCAAAATTCCATCTGAAATAAGCATATTCTGTCCTACGGCCGCAAGGGCTGAGTAGAACTTCTTCAATTGCTCCTCCATGTATTTATTCAAGCTGTAAACAGTGAAAACAATAGCAGGGGCCTGTCCCTCATATTCTCAGCGATATCCTCTCTGGCACCCAGGCATTGTGGAGGAAAAAGCAGACTGCAGGAACACATCTCATCAGATGTGTCAGTACAAGAGGGAAATGGGACAAGGAAGGAGGACTCAAGATGTAGACGAGGTTTAAGGAATCAGGAAAAGGAACAATCTCAATTCTGATATTTGTTAATTTTTCATTGCTCAGTTCTGCACCTCTAACAGTATTCTGGTAAGATTGTTACAGGCAATTTGGTTGCCTCATCGTTACTTAAAATCACAGAATCCTAGAATGTCAGGGGTTGGAAGGGACCTCAAAAGATCATCGAGTCCAGCCCCCCTGCCAGAGCAGGATCACCTACAGTAGGTCACACAGGAACACGCCCAGGCAGGTTTTGAATGTCTCCAGAGAGGGAGACTCCACAGTCTCCCTGGTCAGCCTGTGCCAGGGCTCTGTCACCCTTGCAGTGAAAAAGTATTTCCTAACATTTTTGTGGAACTTCCCATGCTCCAGTTTGCGTCTGTTGTCCCTTGTCCTGTCATGGGACATCACTGAGAAGAGCCTGGCTCTGTCCTCCTCACATATTTATAAACATTAATGAGATCACTCCTCAGTCTCCTCTTCTCCAAGCTAAAGAGACGCAGCTCCTTCAGTCTTTCCTCATAAGGGAGATGTTCCACTCCCTTTAGCATCTTTGTGGCTGCGCTGGACTCTCTCCAGCAGTTCCCTGTCTCTCTTGAGCTGAGGGGCACAGAACTGGACACAAGGTTCCCGATGTGGCCTCACCAGAGCAGAGTAGAGAGGGAGGAGAACCTCTCTCGACCTACCAGCTACTCCCCTTCTAATACACCCCAGGATGCCATTGGCCTTCTTGGCCACGAGGGCACACTGCTGGCTCATGGTCATCCTGCTGTCCACTAGAACCCTCAGGTCCCTTTCCCCTGTGCTACTCTCCAGCAGGTCAGTCCCCAATCTGAACTGGTACTTGGGGTTTTTCTTTCCCAGGTGCAAGTCTCTTCACTTGCCCTTGTTGTATTTCATAAAATTTCTCTTCCCCCAACTCTCCAGCCTGTCCAGGTCTCTCTGAATGGCAGCACAGCCTTCTGGTGTGTCAGCCACTCCTCCCAGTTTTGTGACATCGGCAAACTTGCTGACAGTGCCACTCTATTCCCTCATCCAGGTCATTGAGTTAGAAACATCTGTTAAGACAGTGGAGCATGTGTATTAGAGGCTTCACACACATTTTATTACAAATATAAGGAGACTGACTATTTGATTTTAATAATTATATTATTCTTGCGGCAAAGGACTTGAGAAAGGGATAGATGAATTCCCAAAGCTAGGGCATTTTAGTGCCTTTAAGTTTTAGGAGTATCTTTTCAAATTCTGTACTTCAAGCTGAAATATTAAATAAAAAGTTTATTATTAGTCCATCTCCTGTTTATTCCCAGGACTATATTTTGAGACTGGGATGTAAAAATTAATGGAGTCATATAAATTGTAATCCGGTCTATAAGAAGTATGCAATGCCTTCTCTCTCTAAACACATCATAAAAACAAGAAAAAAGCGTTTCCTTCTTCACCGTTCCAAGCTTACACTTGCAATGAAGCATCTCTTGGCTCTTCTCTGGGTTATGCTACTAGTATATATTCAGGCATATTCCCAGCTTTCCATTCCTCTGCACCTTCCAGTCATACTTTCCCACTGCTTCTGCCTCTACTGAAATAACAATTAATGAAATCTCTTAACCCAGGTGTTTTACTTCGAGTGGTAAGATACCAATGGTTTTGTGGTTTATCTACTGTTACTTAAGGAAATGGTTGAAGAATGGAGCTAATTGCCTCTCTTCTTTCTCTCAAACGGAAGGTGTTCGTTACAACACTGGATTAGTTCTAACTTACCCTCTTTAGCAGTAAACAGAGTAACAGCCACATGTGAAATACATTATAATGTTGTCAGTTTGCAGAGTAACTACTAGTCACCTCTCACAAGGAAAAATTCTACAGTCTAAAGGATATAGACAAAACAATTACCTGCAATTCTTTCAGGATTAGTTCTCATTGTTTCCATAAACTGAGTCATAATGATCAGTTCTTCCCAGATTCTTCCAAGGTCATGGATCTCGGGGCTTTCCAGTAAGAGCTCTTGAGCATCTTTATATACCCTTGCAAGGCTGAAGGAAGAAATAGCAAACCAACAATAAATTAAGATGAATGACACTTGAGAAACTTCACACACACACACAAAAAGGCAAAGTTGTCTTTCTGTGTTAGACATGAAGAAAAAATAAATGATTTTGTCCCCAGTCTTGAAACGCCAAGTTCAGTTTTATGGTGATAACTGAGTAGTTTCAGGTAGTGTGGGATTCAGCTGGATTTGAAAGTCCACAGGAGGTTTAAGAGGGCTACTGGTGTGGCAGAAAGTTGGCCTCTCACCCACCTTCCTCGTTAGCCATGCTGATCTTGCTGGAGAGACAGGGCTTTCCCAAGGTAGTGTTCACCTCATAGCTACGGTGCAAATCTGCTCTGGGTCTGGTACCAGCTCAGCTCCAGTGGCTGGATGGGGCGCTCTGCGCACACGCAGCCCTTTTCAGCCAGCTAAGAGACATGGAATCACTCAGACATAGAATCCTCCTCCCTCTCCCAGCTCAGTGCCCTCCAATGCTGTTTAGATCCCTTCAAAACATTTATTCCAGGAGAGGCAGGAAAACAGGAGTGAGAAGCTGTCACAGGCAGCTGTTCACCTACTGCTTCTGGGTTGGAATATGCAGTTCAAGCAAGGCTGCAATCAGATCCTGTGTTCATGAACAAGTACAAAAAAAAAAGAAAAATCTTATTAGCAGCAAGGGAAGCCACTACATTTCTTTAACGGTGCCATGTTTTTCCATACATGGAATGGTATATCTCAGTCTTCGTGACTTATTTTATGTTACAGGAAGCAAGCAAACAGGAAGGGCTAAATTCTTTCAGAAAATACAATATATTTGCTTCCTCTGTAATGCACTGAATTTACTCTGACTCACAAAGGGACAGCTTGCTCTGTAATAAGCAACCTTTATGGTGTGATTGCACCCCACCAAAAAAAATGAGGCCAGCTGACTATTTTAAATCCTGTTCTCTAGGAACAAAGGTCGAATGCTAAGTTATTTCCAAGCTACGGACTTTCATGTGACTGGAGCTTTAATGGCCTTGACATTGTTAGGTCATGAATTTTAATCATTGGATACTCCAAAGTGGACTATTTGCAAAGGGAGATTTGAAGCATTTTTTATAGCTATTCTAACAGGTTTTTACTCTAAGGGTATTTGTCTGCTCTGCTGTCTTTCATGACTCAGCTATAACAAACTGCAATAAAGCACTCCCACAGCTCCTTCTCACTAACAGTCTGGAAATCTCCCATTCTCCTGTTTTGTTAATAAGCTTAGAATCTGAAGGTTAGTATGCTGATTAAAGCCTCACACATATATAGCCAAAACAGGCACTATATTAAGAAGTGGCAGCTCAGATTTTCCTCTGCTATTACTTCATCAGAGCTCATGTTCAGAAGGGATATCCCAAGTGATTAGAAAAGAAACCTTAAGGGTTTCATATTCTTATATCAAAAAGATTTGTCCCGAGATACTCACTAAGCAGTAGGCAATAAGAAGGATGGACTTCCTTAAGTGAGCCCATGTTCCTTAGAGACTAGTAAAACTGAACTCTTTCTTGGAAAGGCCAGGCCCATCACGAGCTTGTTGCAGATTTGCTGACCATTGTTGGAATTAAACCGATGTGCTCAAACTGCAAATTTTTGTCCTCCAGTATATGCACTCCAGTGTCTTCCTAAATGCTCACCATTGCCCTTCTCATTTGCGCCACAGAATAAGTCTTTAAAATATCGCTTAGTGCACTGAGGGACATTTCTAAGCAGGCTGAGGATACTCCATCCTTTCTTCTTGCATCATTCATGCCCAAGAACACTCAACAGATGCCAAGAGCAGGCTACTAGCAGACCTGTACTACAGCAACCCAGTCTCACACACAGAGCTCTGCTTACATGGAGTTGTTGTAGTTGGACACAACACCTGGACCCTCTCCATGGGTTGGGCTGCGAAAACAGGGGTTGTTCATGTTACAGAAGATGCCATGCAACCATGGCAGCGTTCCTGCAGATGGCATTGCCTTGTTTGGGAAGTGACCTAGAGTACAGAAACACAAAACACACATGATTAGGTGAATCTCAATATCGTGATGGGTTGGCTCACTACAGAAGAAACCTGATGGAAATCATATAGGTTTCTCTTTTACTAAGAAAAAAAAAAGTCATCAATATAAGCAATATGGCTATTTTCAACTAAACTCTATAACTTGACAGAATCTGGAGACCTTGCGTAAGTTGAACCAAAAAGCATCTCGCAAGATGCTCTACCCTTCATTGGTAATTCTTACAATATATGGCTATAAATAACGAAACCAATCAAAGTAAAGGCCCAGCAAACAGGTTCCCGTGTTTCTGCCTGAGAACTTCTAATCGTTATCTAGCACAAGTCAGACCATCAAAACATCTTAAATGTTCTTACATTCATGTTGGCGATACGGTGGATTAGCTTTCCTCAACCAGACAAGGGCAAGAAATAGTGACAGAGGCCATAGAAGCTCCACCAGAAAACGAAGCTGGAGGAAAAAGGGAAAAATCAGTTCAAAATAAGTTTTACAGATGAACCATGTGTAGCCACCAAGTGACTAGAGAGCTAAGAGCCCTTCTCACAGTAGCAATGCCCAGCACAGGATGTGCCCATGGTTGTCCCTTGCCTGTTTCACCAGTTGGAAAGGACATCCAGAAGTACAAAATTTCATCGGAGCCCTGTGAAGCAGCACCATTAACTCAGTGGCTTCTCCACCTCTTTAGAAGTGACATTTAAGCATCCTGACTGAGGTAAAAAGAGACAGCAGGTAGTACTAATTGCCAGACAGACCATATATAAGTCTAAACAGGTTTTTATACAAAGTGGATGACTCTGTAACAATACAGGAAAAAAAAGATTAGATGAGAGGCAGGAATAGTGTGTGATTAACCCACACTTCCACAATGCTGGCCTCATTCATAGTCTGCCAGGGCACTGTGCTTACCCAGAGATACAAAGACTTAAGCATAAGCTTGCATTCTTTGATCTTTACTTTTGCTTTTTGTCATCCTTCATTTCAACATTATTAATTTTCTAATACAGGTAAATACGCATACGTTAAGATCAAACGCCTTTTTAAACAACACAGAAGACCCCATCAAAGGCCACTTTATTGCCCAGATCTTTCAGTACGCTTAGGACAGTCACCAGCTCCCAGTCATGACAGAAAATCAAGGGCACTGCTTTACCACAGAACAACGTCCTGCCTGGTTTTCAGTCTGTTTCCTCCGCTCCTGTGTTTCAGTTTGTTTTACTGCCTGTGTGTTTTGGCAGAGGTCTGCAGCTACAGCCCTTTGATCCTGTGACACAGGCTTTGGGCTCTGAGGACCAGCTATGGTTATTTTTGTGTCCGACCACGTGGCACTTCTTTTTTCCTCCCTGCAAGAGCTAGAACAAACTCTATCCAGAGCTGGGGTCATAGCACATGCACAGGAAAGGGCTCTGTGCTTCCTTTCCTTTGCTCCTGCCTGCCTGACCAGGCACCAAATATGTTACAATAATGTGTACAGCAGCAGACTCATAGACAAAATGGGTCACGTGAATTGTGGTTTTTTCGTTTTTTCAAATGGAGCCATGCAGGACAAAAGATACCCACAGTGTAATCAAGTACAGGATTTTGGAGCTGTCCTGTTTTTTCCACTGTAACTCTGTCTAATAGCTTTAGTTAAGCACAGCTTATGCTTACAGTAAAAGGGTAAAAAGAGTTACACCAGGCAGTAAGTTCTTACTTCACGCTTTTTCTCTTTATGTTTTCTTTTTAAAAATAGAACAAAAAAAATCCACCAACTAGGAAGTTATGCATGCCTGTCGTTTTAACGCCAAGCAAAAATCTCACCAGCAGCAAAGAGCAGATTACACAGCTATTAGAGAAGGAAATTTGTCATTGTACAGCTGTTCTTGACAGTTGTGGTGCCTGTAGCTCAGAATACAGTATTACAGACCCTTCTCAGCAGGCATCCACAAGGTCTGATTAACACCCATCCATTTGACAAGACAAGCACTGCACACCGTAACAGAGGGGTAAGAACTGGGGAGTCTCCTTGGTTGTTGTCTTTGCTGCAGAGTTAATACGGGTTATTGCTCAGATGTCGATTCTTATTTCATTCTCAGGGAATAGAAAATCCTCAGACTTGAATTCAGTAATTCCTTTCTGTCTGAGTTAACACGTTTGGAAGGGATTGAAAGCTAAAGCACAAGGGAAGCTTTCTTTTGAGCTGTTACACAATGTGTCGTGTGGTAAGGTCGGAGCAAGTGCTGTTAGAGCTGTGATTCCTTCCTGCGATCCTTTTCCTGAGGACACACAGGTGTCTCAGAACTCACTGCAGGATCAGAGAGAAGCCCCAAAGGCTGCAGAAATCCCACAGGCAGAAATCCCAGCAATGTGCACAGGAAAATGTAATACTGAGACAGAAATGTAATGGACCAAGCACAGTGATTAGACCCTGTAAATGTGACAGGCTTAAACTGTGGCTGTGGATCAGCTATTACCTCTGTAATGAAGTCTTTTCTCTTGTGAATTAGACTAAATGATGAACCTGAGTAGAAGACTGGGTACACCTCCATTTATGGCACTGCATGATAGTTAACTGATTTTCCCTAAACACATTTTATAGCTACTTTTGACATTATGGATTTTTGGTTTGGCTGTCTTGCTTCTCTGTGTGGACAAAAAAACCCAGATACGTTTATATATTAGAAAATTATTTTTACTGACTCTGTTATAAAATTGTTTACTCTTCACAGCAGAGAAGATATTTCTTTGCTGTTTGTTGTTTACAAACTAGGAATGATCATCACAGAAGAGTAAAGAAAATCCCAATGAAAGTATTCTGTGTTCATTCTGTAAAGAGGAGGTTTGCAAACTGTGCCAAACAAGACCACATTTGATTCTGAGGAATTCATTATTCCTACATGCTGATAAATGCACCAGTCACTTCATCCAGTGGAGTGGATGGTCCAAAGCTGAAACCCAAAGGCTAATACTTCACCTTTTGTCTTTTCCGGAGGATCCAGTTCTTCCAGAGTAGAAGTCTGACTTGCCTGAAGAAGTTCATTCTTCTGCATCAACAGTTCTGGTTAACCTGCGGCAAAAGATGCGTTGCCATTTCTCAGCTGACAGCTGAAACAGACCTCAGAGCAAAATAACAGCTTTCTGCTCTTATATTGTTATCGTAGAGATTGGTTCCTTTCAACGTCTGCACCATTTAATTTTGCACTTGATACGCTATCACATGTGAAAAATCATGGGTTTCCTTTGTTTGGAGCCTGTTTCCTGTGACACTTTTACTGGCGCCAAAAAGCAACAGAAAGAAGCATCATCTCTTTCTACTGGAAAAATAAGTCCTTGGCACTGAATCCAGCTACTAACTTGGACTTGCAACAAATAAAAGCAGTTAATTGTTGTATCATTTATCAGATAATATCTGTGCTTTCAAACTATTTTTTCCAAGAAAAGTTGGATTTGCAACTGGGCATTAGTTTATATAAAACTGTTTAGTTATTATGAGAAAGACAGAATTGAGTTTTCCATTCAGACACTATAAGTGTATATTTATCAACACAGTCTGGAAAGGATTTTTGTAAAAGCAAATCCATTTTGTTATTTTATTAAAAAAATACAGGATCTCATATATTTATGCTTTTAAATTCAGTAACTCCCACTATATTTTAGCAGAGATACAACAAAATTTTAACAATTGTACATCCTGTTTTCTAGGTTCGTGACTCATTTTAACCACCATTTTTATCTTCAAAAGCAAAGAGAATTTGACATATAAATCTAAATAGGGAACTGTTAAAGAATAAACTTTTTGAATTTGCTAGCCGTATCAACTTCCTATTTTATAGTAGCCTTATAGGACCTAAATGATTGAAGAGTGATTTCTTCATGAATGGTTAGTAAGTGGGAGAGTGTGGAAAAGGAAATGGAAGTTAGATATCGGAAAGCACTTTCTAACGATAAGAATGCTGAAGTAGCAGAACTGATTGCATGGGAGGGCTGCGAGGCCTCCACTGCTGGAGACCACTCAAACTTTTATTAAGACTTACAGGGGTAACACGGCTCATGGATTAGAGGATTCATTGAGTCTCTCTTGCCGTTTTTCCAGAATTTTGTTTCAGGAAAATCTATTAAGTGGAAGAGATTTTGTCTAATTTTAAGAGACAAGATATGAAAGACACGTCAGAGTATTTTGGCCCAATATGTCAACAAAGCATTAGTTTAAATTAGATAAAAACCAGTAATAATTATTTGACTGTTTCAGAAAATCATCACAGGTCCACATGTTATGAACTGAAAAGCAATTTTGACCTCAAGCAGGGAGGAGATGGCCAGCATCTGGGAAGAGCTGGCACAAGCCCTGACTAACCCTGCTGGAAAGAAATCCTAAGGAATGTGCAGACCTCTTCTGACACACCAGGCATGGAAGAGACTGGAGCAGAATATTTAGGGCCAAACGTTGCTAGAATTGGCTGTGCTACTTATCATGAATCAAATAACAAAACAGCAATTCTGTAGAAAGAATATCCATGCAAAACCACTGATGCCAAAACCTGGAGTATTTTCCATATTTTGTAGATCAACAGTTTTATGCAATTTTCCGTGTCACTCCATCAACCCTGATTAAGTTACAGAGGACTACGAAAAGTAGAGACTAGCTTCAGAAAGCTAACACTGTTCTAAAAAGAAAATGGATTAACGCTTGATGGTTTGAAGAGATGGCTGTTGCACCCCAGAAGTGTATTTTGAGCGGATGTCCACTTTGGATAAAAGCTAAGGGGCACAAAGTATAACCCACAGCTTGGTGATTCAGTGCTGTCAACTATGGGCAGTCAGAGGGCTTTCTAACACTCTTGCACAGCCCAGGGATCACCAACTTGCTGCTGCTCACAGAACTGTAGAATAGTTTGGGTCAGAAGGGACCTTAAAAATTATCTAGTTCCAACCTCACTGCCATGGGCAGGAACACCTTCCACTACATCAGGTTGCTCAAAGCCCCATCCAGCCTGGCCTTGAACACTTCTTGGGTCATCCACAGCCTCTCTGGGCAACCTGTTCCAGTGTCTCACCACCCTCACAGTGAAGAATTTCTTCCTTAAATCTGATTTAAATCTACCTTCTTTCAGTTTAAAGCCCCTTTACTCCCCTTAAAGTCATTACTCATTGTCATCACTTCATGCCCTTGTAAAAAGGGCCTCCCCATCTTTCCTGCAGGCCCCCTTTAGGTACTCTGCAAGGCTGTTATAGGGTCTCCTTGGAGTCTTCTCTAGGCTGAACCACCTGAAGAATTCATTCTGAAGAACGAGTTCTGCAGCTGAACAAATGTGGAAGAGCCAGTTTTGTGCCAGCAGCTCTCGCTTTCCTCTAAACCCCAGATGGACACTGCAATCTTTCTGCATTAGCTATGGAAGGAAAGTTCAAGTCATCATGTTAAGGCATAAAATCTGTACTCTGTCAATTGCCTGGCCTCTCCTCTTCTTCCTGGCTCAGAGCCATCCATCATTATGAGTTTTTACCTCAGTGAGACATTCCCTAAGTAGAACAGGGAGTTTTAGCTCATGTTTCTTAATTTCTCAGTATGTTTGACATGCCTGCACCACCCTGTAGCTTTCACTACTATTAATGAGAAAAATTTGTAGTGCAAGGCCATAAATGGGATTAGGATTGCCAGATAAAATGGCTGTCAGCATTTGCTCTGGAAAATCTGGCTATTTTTCAGAAACAAAAAATGTAAGTAATAAAGGAGCCAAAACCAATAACCTCAGGAAAAACAAGGTTATCCCGATTGTGCTTGCTGTTAAACCTTCAAGGTTTTTACATTTAATTTTGCTAGTTACATTTGTCGATAGGGATGAAGAGAGATATTCCTTATAAGAGGACTAACTCAATGACAGATAACCTAATTAATATGCACAAAGGAACTGCCCTAAGAAAGCAACTACTACAATGATTGCCAAGGCTAAAATTTTGCTGCATAAATCAGAATTTAAAAGTACTTTTCCCTTTGACATAAACAAAACTATTTAAGTTACAGCTTTAATACATGAAGTGCAATCAACATATAAACCTTAAAGAAATATTCTACTTTGCTCAGCAAACACACTTTAGAATCAACTCTAATTTTAGGATGAGCAAGAATCACTTATATTTCCCAGGCAGCTTTGTTTATAAAACTGTCACGAGGAGGGAAAGAACTTTCCTAAATGAAACAGTTTCACAGGTGTGCTAAAAGTATATTAACCTTAAACTGCTTAGAAATCTGAATTAGAAAGATGCACATAAGACAGCAGTGTAGAAAAAAACCCTGTAAATAATTCAATCAGAAGACACTGAACTTATCATAAGATAAGCCTCAGATTCTGTAGCAGTGCAGAATAAATAAGGAATAATTAATATTCAATCCCAAAATATTCTTTCCCACCTGGATGTTACTCAGACTAACACAGAGCTGTGTCGTTAAGATTCAAGCTCTACTAATTTAAGTAGAGCAAAACACTATAATGAAATAACGGAATAGGACCATGATAAAAATCGTACTTAGCAATAACGTGCTGAGAACTCTACTTGGGCTCAGGAGGTATGTGAACTTCTGGAGTCATGGCGGAGATCTAGCTTCATTCTTTAAAGGCAGCACTCTGCTCACAACATCAACTGTGGCTTGAGACAGCTGCAATTAGAAACAGCACAGGCACTAGAAAAAGCTCAGTTTCCAAAAAAGCAAAGTTTATTAACATACATATTTAACCCCCTCCTAAAACCAGAAAAAGCCACACACACTTTCAAACTGTTCATTCAGTTTTTCATTAAGAACGTAATGCAAATGATGACTGTTACTATTTAGAATTGTATATGCTTGCTGCCTAAAGACAACGTGCTCAAGGGATGTGATTTATAACCACGGCCTAAGAAAATATGTGTTTTCTTAATTTTCTTTTTGCAGGAACTGACTTCCTTTCCAGGGGGCTGATTTTAAGCATGGGAAGACTCTTGAGTCTCAACTCAAGCAAATAAAAAATAGCACTTAGTTTTTACTTTATCTTTTTGTTCCCCTAGAAGTTTATGCTATAACAATAGAACACAGAAGAACGATTCGCCGCATACATTCAGAAAGAAAACTCATATGTATTGTTGACAGAAGATGTGAAAGTGAAATATATAATTGGTTATATCAGTCACTACCTCTAGTTTTAACACATCATATAATAAATCTAAATACTGATTTTAAATCAGAAGGAATAATTTTTTTTTTAAAAAGTGTCTTAATTTCCCAAAGTTCAGTCCTATCTTACAACCTCTAGGACAATATCAGAAGAAAAAAAAATCTCACAGGTTAAAAATATCTTAATGCAGTAATAATAATAAAAGGCCTTTTCTTCACTCTTTTTTCTGGCTTTTGCACTTCAGCAGGCAAATATGGTAACTTTTTATCACCTAGACTTTCTTGCTAGACAGCATATATTCTAGTGTTACAGCTGGCACCACAAAAAAGGTCTCTGGGTTAGGAATGAAGTTAACCATTTATTTTTCAGCTGATAGTACAGGAGAGGATGAAGACAGTCACGCAGTGAATTAGATATTTCTATGTTTTACTTTACGCGAGGTGAGAGCAAGGCCTAGAAACGAGGTAAGCAAATTAGTATCATGTGGAGTAAGGTTTCACATTTTGACTGGCTGCCAACTCTAATTTCATCCTGGAGGTTCAGTAGAACATTCCCGGCCTGCAGATTGTCAACTGCAGTTAGCAAAGGGTCCTCTTACCCTGCTTATACTGTATCAGTTACATCTTATTATCAAAATCAAGAATTTCTCTCAGTTGAATATTTCTATAAGCCATTGTGTTCTGAATCTAATCATTAGCTACAATATGCTCCTGCTTTTTCTGAAAAGTCTGACCTCCAGGGATACTGACATACCACAGCCTTCCTCATTACCATCAGGTTAAGATACCATAAACTACCCCCACGGAGTATGGTCTGATCCAGGAACAAACAAGAACCAAGTGAATATCGAATGTGTTGTAGATTTTCATCTGTAAGGGCTGAAAGAGATGGTAAT